AGCCAAAACGTCTTATAATTTGGAATGGAGGGAGTACATACTAATGCATGTAGTTTATGAGTTTTTGTCTAGTACCAAAATGGAATGTTTCATTGGTATGGGTCATGTTTCAATATTTACTTATAATATAATCAATGTTTCCCTTGGTGCTCACCTAGCCCTGCCCTAATCTCCAATCAGTTTCTAGCTGCTGATCTGGCATTAGCACTAGTGTTAGGTCCTAGGGGAACAATAAGGATTACGAATGAAACAATTTTTTTTCAGATGTCACAGTTCAATTATAGCCTGATATCCTTTGGTCATTGACAAGAAAAATATATTTAATAAACTATTTTTTCTCAAACACGCAGGAGATCTGCATACCATCATATATTTATAAACTATAGCTTGACATCTGTTGGTGTTTCAAGGGATTGTCAATGAATTTACTATTTGAACGGAGAACACACCATGTTTTTTTGGGAGCAGATTTTATTTTCAGTCTAATTTTGCACCAAACTATATCAAACTTAAACACATACTAATATTTCTATATTTTTACAGATTGAAGCATCTGGAGGCCAAGCCATTACCTTTGGAGGAGATGTTTCCAAAGAGGCTGATGTTGAATCAATGATAAAAATGGTAGGTAAGTTGGGAGTGAATTTTTGAGTTGCCAATTTGTTGTTTCTTACATCAATTCTTCTCCTTTTCGATTCTGACAAATACCCATGTGCAAATCTTGCACTTGCAGGCTGTTGATACATGGGGAACAATTGATGTACTAGTAAATAATGCAGGTACTGCCAAATGTATTTTTTGTTTTGCAACTATTCCCATTTGTTTCACTTCCAACAATTTGAAGCAAAAAACTGATAATAGGAATCACACGGGACACGTTGTTGATGAGAATGAAGAAATCACAGTGGCAATATGTGATTGATTTGAATCTTACAGGCGTTTTCCTTTGCACGCAGGTATTTTGCCCCCTTCTCTCCCCATTTTGCTGCAACAGTTATTGTTACCATCTCACATCAACATATACTTTGCAGGCTGCAACAAAAGTAATGATGAAGAAGAAAAGGGTTGGCAATGTTTTTCATTGTCAGACTGATATTTTATTTCTGTTTTTTTGTTATTATGCATATATCTCACTTTGTATACCAGACTCTTATTTTCATACTGCAATGCAGGGAAGAATTATCAACATAGCATCGGTTGTTGCCTTGTTGGTCTTACTGGTAATGCTGGACAAGCTAATTACGCTGCTGCCAAGGCTGGGGTTATTGGGTTCACAAAAACAGTTGCTAGGGAGTATGCCAGCAGAAATATTAATGTGAGCACACCTTTTGATTCATCATCTCAAAGCTTTTATCCAGTTTTGCAGTTAGTGAACTATTTCTGAACTTCTCTATTTAGGCAAACGTTATTGCTCCTGGATTTATTGCATCAGATATGACCGCTGAACTTGGTGAAGAGCTAGAGAAGAAAATTCTGTCAACTATTCCCTTAGGTATAATATTACTTACATGTTCGCATTCTAAGCTGTAACCAATATTCCTTAGTGTCTAATTCAATGTGGTTAGTTTCTTCATTAATTAATCTGTTCATTACTTACTGCTTTTCACTCCTTTTGGGCAATGCGCTGGTCTGTATTTTTGAATTGTTTCTTGTTATTACTAGTCAGTGCATGTGTGAAGTTCATGTTAACTGCCTTTGATTTGGCTTATGAAAATGTAGGGACATAGTCTGTATCAGCCAAATTCGTGTTTTTATATTATTTCATAGTACAGATGATGACAATATAATTAATTAACTATTACTAAATACTTTCAGTGTGGTTATTAGCTATTGATTGCGTGCATTCTTCATACGTTGTAGCATATTCAAGCATTAAGGATAGGAAACACACGCGCGCGCGCGCACGCACGCACGCAAAACCTCTTTCAAAATATTGAACCTTAATCTCAAAGAATCCATTGTTGTTACTGGTAGGTGGAAGGTCCAAGTGTTCATGTCAGTCATACTGGAGTTTTTAAAACTTTTTAATAGGTTCAAGGTCCAAGTATACATGTCAGTAATACTTGACTTTCTAAAACTTTTTGAATAGGTAGGCCCTTTAGGGATCAACGTGAATGCTGACTGGCTTGTTTTAGCCCTTAGATAAGCTAGGTTTCAAGCTGAGGCTTCAGTTGAAGCTGGAGAGGGGAACAGGCTTGTCTAAGTGTATCTATATCTATGAATTTTATTTACCAGTGAAAGTCACTTTGACGATTTATTTACTATGTAGTTCGTCAGCAACAGCAGATAGACATGTATATAGAGAAAGCAGCAACAAGCCCAAAAAACACATGTATCGACGTTGCTTACTAAATGCAGTTTGTTCTCTTTGAAAAGTAATTGAAACACACCATTCTTTGGGCTGGTGTGTATACACCTAATTGTTATTAATGAAAGACAGCTACAGATTCAAATATGGTGTGTCATGAACTCATGATGGAACTGGGGATTTCTGTCGCTTGACTTACTATATCCACCTTCCAGTTATTTTAGAGTACATGCTGATTGTGAAAACAAGGTGACTGATTGGATTGACTCACTATATAGCATGTTCCTGTGTAGTGCTCTCACCTTTGTCAAAACTTAGTAGTGCTCTGATCTATGAATAAACATGATTACATGAGTGTTGGATAATGCAGTTTTGTGAATATTGGAAAAATACAGATATTATCTCATTGCATGACTTTCCTGGAACTAATGGGTGTACACAAATTCCTAGGGCGATATGGTCGTCCAGAGGATGTAGCAGGTCTGGTGGAATTCTTAGCCCTCAGCCCTGCTGCAAGCTACATCACTGGACAGGTCTTGTTACAGATGGTGTGCGTTATCTTTTCGTGGTTCTTGAGACTTCTGATGCGTTCTCACCGAGCTCCTTTGCCTTGTGATGTAACATGCAGGTCCTTACAATCGATGGAGGCATGGTGATGTAAGGCTTCAAATTTGTGCCTCCGGCCTCTATTATGTGTCGCAGGAAAAAAATGTAATTTAGTTTTGAGGGTCATTGTTTTAAGGGTTGATTTTTTGTCCACAGCGATTTGTTGTATCTAGTTCGATATGAAGGGAGAGTTGTAAGAGATATACTAGAGATTACAGACGTATATTTAGCTTTCTTTCTGAGCGATTGGCCAATTGCTTCCGGCTCCAGCCATGTTTTTTTTTTATTACACAGTACAGCGTAGATACTCATAACGCACTCACCTCTACAAACTTGTGCATGCAAATCTTATCTCTATGAGTATCTTCGAAGACCGGATCAGCAGGGCGCTGTTCGGCTGGTGTAAAAATCAGCCGGAATTCACTGTTTACTGTTCGCGCTCCCACAAATTTCTCCAGATTCTTCTAAATTTCTCTCAACGAACAGGGCCCAAATGTTCAAGATCACAGGGGACTCGCTGTTAATGGGAACGTCATATACCTATGGATAGGAACATCTCATATCATTGAAAGTACAACGCTAAGTCCGTCGACCCGAGTCGAACCAGTACCTGACGTGCTACTAATGCTACAGCGTACAGGCCCTCTGGTCATGTGCATCCCTTATTGGCACGCTCTTTCCATAACTTTTCGGTCCCCTACTCTTGGGCCAATGCTTGGTTTCTCTTCTGTTTCTACATTTTTAATTCGACGCGTGTTTAGTTTTGCGAAAATTAAAAGCCTCACGAGATTCATACTTACCTGTGCTTGGGTTGGATCTGAACAAAGTACGCTCGAAGTAAGATGGCTCCCAGATGGAATAAAGGTGCTGTTTTTAGCAGGCTGGTCGATATATTAACCATGCAAGTTTCTTTCCATTTAGTGCCACAGCACGAGGAATGCATCAAACATAGATGGAACAAAGGTGCTGTTTTTAGCAGGCTGATCGATATTAACCATAAGAGACTAGTTTCTGCTTCCATTTACTGCGGCAGCACGAGGAATGCATCAAACATGACTCATCATAATTGAATTCAGAACCACCGCACAGGACTGTTTATACTCGGTTCGAACTGAATTTGTGAATCAAATTCAGAAGCACCCACGCAGGATTGTTTATACTCGGTTCGAACAGAATTTGTGAATCAAATTCAAAATTCAGAAGCACCACACAGGATTTATACTCGGTTCGAACAGAATTTGAAGCTTGCTAACTTAGCATGGCTCCTCAACCAGAGATATGACTGCTTTTGCAACAACAACAAAAAATACAGTATGAGCGCAATTGGTTAAAACGGTCACAGATATAATGAACGTTAAACATCTAGTGATAAGATTGTAGACGAAAATAAGTCGCCACCAAATATGAACGCCAATACGAATTGCCAGTCAAACCAATCTAGGCATTTGTGGTAACAGAGGAAATACATCGTACTTTCGACACACAGCAAATGATCAAAACTTAAAACACTTCCTAGGGAAAGAAACAGCCGATGATATGCTAAGCACAGCATCTCACAGTTCGGACCTAGGCCTTGATAGCATACTTCCTCATGGGGAAGTACTTCTCACGCTTCTTTTCCCTCTCCGTCTTCAGAGAAAGCTGCAGGACAAACAGCGAAAAATGTCAGGCCATCTATGGTTAAAAAACCAACACAAAAGGGCAACCACTCAGAGAAATATGTCATGCAATTTCAGCTACAAACAGCTGGTGATGGATAACAGACTATCAATCAATTGAAATTCCAGTGTCACATTTTAAACAAGTTATTGTTTCAATTGTCACTTGGCCACATGTCAAACATTCAGAAACTGATTATATACCACCATTTTGTGCTGTGTCATAGCAATTGAAAGATAACACAACTGGCTAGTGCTTGCAGACACTAGTGCTTGCAGACACCTGATAACCCTAAAACCTAAACCTGGTTGCAAACTTGAGCTCCGCATGGAGAGGGTTATCAGGTATCAGCAAATGCTTAAAACTGTATATGAACAGATTGAAGGAAAAATATCACCAACCACAAACACTTACCTTGATTTTGCACATCAAAGAGCAATAACATTATTCAGCTCATATATTCAGTCAGCAAACATAACTCACATTCTAAAGTTGCATCCATACGCAAAATCTATTGGCTCATGAAGCTCAGAGGAATTTCAAAAGAAATCATCTGTTACTCAATTAATGATTCATCCAACAAGGAACATAACATAACTTATATAACACTTATTGAAAGAGCCAATCAAATTGATGCAACAGATTATCAGGATATTTATTCCTATCAATTAAAAAGGATATAAAAATGCTCTTGGAGTTGCCCATCATGGAAGAAACATAGCATAATAACTTGTATACCACTTATTGTAAACAAGACAATCAAATTACAGAATGACAACTCAACAGATTATCAGAAATAATTGCCACTGGAATAATATATACTCAAGGTTCCAGCCTAAGTGCACTGGAATTATATACTCAAGGTTCCACCTAATTTCACTAAGTCATGATGTTAGTATCAAATGAAAGTTGTAGCAGAACATCTGCAAGTGTTTCAATTAAAACGCCATATACCTGGTGCTTGGTCAGGCGGCGGCGGATGGCACGGGTCTTCTTGGGGCGGAGGTCGAGGGGGAGCAGCTTCTTCTTCTTGTAAGCCTCCCGCAGCGCCGACTTCTGCTTCTGCGAGATCACCGTGAGCACGCGCGCGATCGAGGTACGCACCACCTTGCTGAAGAACCACAGGGGACGGGTACAATTCGATTCGATTCAGTCCAGTTCAGGAGCAGAGAATAGCAGGAGAAAATAGAGGCTGGAGGTACGCACATCTTGGACAGCTTGTTGGGTGCGCCGCCGGTGACCTTGGCGACGCGGAGGAGGGAGAGCTCAGACTTGAGCTCCTTGAGCTGCGCCTGCAGGTCCGTCTTGCTCTTCCCCCGGAGCTCGTGCACCTTGATCCGGGCTGCCAGTCATCGCCACACAACAAAACGGGTGTCAGATCAGCGCGAAGATAAGGAGGATAACTCCAACGAAGGATGGAATCCTGGCGGTGTCTTACCCATGGCGACGGTGGCAGTTGCGACGGCGGCTGCTGCGGCGGCGGGGTGGGGGAGAGCGTTGCGCGAGGGGAAGAGGAAGGGTGGCGGCGGCGGAGGATTTATATAGAGAGGGGGGAGCGCGTGGCGGAGACAAAACCCTAGGCTGAATAGCGTGGGCTGACTGGGCCTAATTGTGCTCAAGGGGATGCGACTGGGCTATAGCGTTGAAATCAATAAGGGTTTGGTTTTCGCTTTTTATATTATGAAAAAGTCTACATTCCCTCCTCAACTTTCGTGAAAATCCATTTTTCCTTCGTGAACTCCAAAACCAGGCAAAACACCTCCCTCAACTTTTGAAACCGTTCATCTTACCTCTCTGGCCCTGTTATAAGCAGTTTTGAAGGCGGTTTTGTCCTTTTCTTTTTTATTTATTTCGGCTGAATCTTTGAAAAATCATAGTAAATCACAGAAAAATTATACAATGGAAAATCCAATTTTGTTGGACTCCACATGAGTAGATCTACACAGTGAACATATAATATGGTATGCTTTAGTACAAAGTTTTTGTTGTGACTTTAGATCTATGCTTTTTTAATTAGTTGGAATAATTCATAGCTACAGTTTTTATGGTCCAATTATAATGAATTTTTTATGGTGGGCTAATTATTATATGATTGAACTGTAGTAAAAATTTCATACTCATTGATCATATATAGCTTAGTTATAGATTTATTTATATTTAACAAGCATAAACCTAAATAAAATCTATAACTAAGTTATACATGATCCAATGAGTATGAAAATTTTACTACAGTTTAAGCATACAATAATTACCCCACCTTAAAATTTTCACCACAATTGGACCATAGAAATTGCATATATGAATTATTACATTTAATTACAGAAAAAATATAGATCTAAAGCTACAACAAAAACTTTGTACTAAAGCATACCATATTATATATTCACTGTGTAGATCTACTCATGTGGAGTCCAACAAAATTAGATTTTCCATTTTATATTTTTTCTATGATTTACGATGATGATTTTAAAGATTCGAACAAAATAAATAAAAAGAAAAAAAGACAAAACCGCCTCCAAAAACCGCTTATAACCGGGCCGTGGAGGTAAGATGAACTGCTTTAAAAGTTGAGGGAGTGTTTTGTCCGATTTTAGAGTTTAGGGAGGAAAAGCGGACTTTCGCGAAAGTTGAGGAGATAATGTGGACTTTTTCCTTATATTATTGCTATGGTTAATGCTTGTATTATTTGACTTTTTAGACCGTGTTCAGTGTTCTTCTTCATTTTAAATTGCACAAGGTTGTATCTTGCACGATGCTCTCTCTCTTGAATAATAGACGGGTACATGATGTGTCCATGAATTGCTGCAGTATCAGTGATCAAATTATTTTATTTTACAGTCTCATTTTATGTCCGTGTCAGATTTTTTGAACTGTCCTCCCTTATCAACTTGAGAAAATATCCTATTCGACACCGGAAATAATGCTGCTCTCCTATTTGACACCGAAACTAAAATTTTTTCCTATATATCCTCTACTCAAGTTTTTCTTTCCTATTTGACATTTCTATCAATTCTGTGAGCAAGCACCATTGGTTGTCCAAGTCACGCAATGGGAAAAAAACGTAATGCCCTTTGAGGGAAGCAAATGAACTCGATCATCTCTGGGAGTCGCAGTTGTTTGTCCTCCAGAGTCGTGCTCGTATGGGCGACTCCTTCCCCGTAACCCTATATCAAGGCGGCCACGGAAACCCCCTTCCACGCTCGCGGCATCGGAGGAGGGTGGCGCGGCCACACTAAAAAAAAGGATAGCAATATCAACCATGGAATGTCATGACTAGTAAAAAACTCTAGGGGTAAAACAAACTTTTCTCCTAGGCTTAACATTGTTAGCGGTTCAAATTGATAGAAATGTTAAATAGGAAAGAAAAACTCGAGTGGAGGACATATAGGAAAGAATTTCAGTTTCGATGTCAAATAGGAGAGCAACATTATTTATGGTGTCAAATAGGAAATTTTCTCTACTTTTCAATGCTAGAGTAGACTTGTGATCTTATAAGTGAATTTTCAGACAATGAGACAAAATTGGACTAGTATGCATCTAAACATTGGAGATTTTGAAAACATTCCACCGTGTCAAACCTCGATTAGCTATTTCAAAGACCGGATGTCTCATTGATAGGTGAGACTAAGCGCCTGTTTGGTAGGGATTCACTATGAAAAAAGTGAATCTGGATCTAGGATTCATCGTGGATTAGATCCACCGTGGATCTATCAGTGAACTGTTTGGCAAATGCAGTAGCTTCAGATCCACGAAAGGGTATTTTCGTTGGAATTGCCGACGCCCATGGCTCGTGTTTCTCCCTATCTCACTAACACCCGACCCACGCTTAGGATGAAAAAAAAAAAACACTAGGCGCTTTTTTCTTCTTCCAAAGACGGCGAGAGGCACGGCCGAGCGAGGCGGCAGGCGATGGCGCATCGAGGGTCAGGCGACGAGAAGGGCCAACCGAACAGGGTGCATCGCTGCGGCGGGCGGACGCATTAGGGGCACACGGTGGGCCCGGCCGAGGATGGCGGCGCGCGACGGCCAAGGGTGCGCCGGTGGGGATCGAGTCTGCATCGAGATCCTCGAGGAGGAGCGACATTAGGGGATCGAGTCTTGCATCAGGCACGAGCTCCCGCTCTGCATGTGCCTCCTCACCGATGGTCTGCAGCGCGACATGGCCCAGAGGACGGCAAGGGTGGCCGGCTAGGGAGGCCGCCAGCGTCTGGGGGGTGGTGGGCCGAGCGCCAAGCAGGCGACCATGGACTGAGGCAGTGTGAAAAGGTCCTAATGGCTAAGGGGGTGAATAGCCTATAAAAATTTCTACAACAACACTAAGCTAAGTAGTTAGATAGATATGAGGCGAAACAAGTTTTGCGCTAGCTTACTAAAAATACAAGCCACCTACCATAATTCAAGTTGCTATAGTCTCTAAGCACACAAAGGCTAGGTCAAATACTAACTAAAGAGTCTCACTAACCAAACTACACAAGCAAGAAAAGCTCTCAAAACTAACTACACTAAAGAGCTTAGCTACACTAGGAAAGTAATGCAAGGTAGAGTGGAGAAGATATACCGCCATGGCAAGTGATCAATCAAGAATACCAATGAATACCAAGGAGACAATAATGACACAATCATTTTTTTCTCCGAGGTTCACTTGCTTGCCAGCAAGCTAGTCCCCGTTGTGGCGATTCACTCACTTGGAGGTTCACGCGCTAATAGGCATACACCCTTAACCCGCAACTGGGTGCCGCACAACCAACACAAGATGAGGATCCACAAGTCACGCGCAATCCACTAGAGTTGCCTTTGGTGCTCTGCCGGGGAAGGCACAAGAACCCCTCACAATAACAATGATCGGAGCCGAAGACAATCACCTTCCTCCGCTCAACGATCCACCAATCATCGGGCCATCTAGGTGTCGGCAAACACCAAGAGTAACAAGATCTCCACCAGCCCAAATCGCCTAACTAGTGCCACAAGATGCTAGAACACTAAGCAATGCACTAGAGGCTCTCCAATCTCACTCGAGATGATGAAATCAAGTGTGCAAGTGAGTGAAGTGGTGTGCTCAGCTCCCAAAGGGTATATGCAGCTATTAGAAGTGCCAAGAGAGTGGCCAAGGCCAGCTACAAGATCTATTTATAAGCCAACAAGCAAATAGATCCGTTACCCCTTTGAGTCAGCTTCTGCGGGGGCACCGAACATGGCGATGCGATCACCGGACAAGGGGTGATTTGCCCCTCCCAACGGTCACCACTAGCTGTTGGGGCACCGAATAGGCGGCGGTGGCATCGGACAGGGTGCGGTGGTGCCACCCAGAGCCAGCCTCCCATTTTCCCTCCTCTCTGGAAAATTAGGGTGGTGCACCGCCATAGGGTGCGGTGCCCAGCTCTCCTTCCCCTGCTCTCTGCTGAAAAGAGGTGGTGGCCCTAGGGGTGGTGGTGCCCCACCCGAGCACCTCCTTCTAGGCCTCTCTAGCCGGTCACCGCCACAGGGGTGGCGGTGCACCGAACAAGGGGTGGCGGTGCCCCCGGGGCAGCACCCCAAGCCAAGTTTTGCCTCATTTTCTTCACCTTTTTCACCACCTTTGCAAATGTGTTAACACTCTAAATGTTTCACCATCACTGCAAGTGTGTTAGCATTTTCACAATTATTTTTTCAAAGGTTATTCACTTCTCACCGATTGTGCACTGGCCTAAAATGCATATGCAAGTTATCCAACACCTAGTGGCACTAGATGATCGAGTTGTCCGAGAAGAGCTCCCCACTTAATAGTACGACCATCTATCCTAAATGTGATCACACTCTCTATAGTGTCTCGATCACCGAAAACAAAATAGCCCTATGGTTATCACCGATTGCTTCATTCATTTCAAACTTCTTGAGCATGTCTTTGATGTACTTGCCTTGACTCACAAATGTACCATTCTTCAATTGCTTGATTTAAAGTCCAAGGAAGTAACTCAACTCGCCAACCATGGACATCTCAAACTCATTAGCCACCATCTTCCCAAACTCTTCACAAAAGTCTTGATTGGTTGACCCAAATATGATATCATAAACATAAATTTGTAACACAAATAAGTCCTTTCCAATCTTCTTAGTGAAAAGAGTGGTATCAACCTTGCCCATCATGAACCCCTTTGAGAGTAGGAAGTCCCTCAACCTCTCATACCATGCTCTAGGTACTTGATTCAAGCCATATAGTGTCTTCTTTAACTTGTACACATGGTTGGGCTTCTTGTCATCTTCAAAACCAGGAGGTTGCTCAACATATACTTCTTTATTGATGTAGCCATTAAGAAATGCACTCTTGACATCCATTTGATAGAGCTTGATGTTGTGGGCACAAGTATAGGCTAGCAAGATTCTAATTGCTTTCAATCTAGCAACTGAGGCATATGTTTCTCCAAAGTCAAGACCTTCCACTTGAGTGTATCCTTATGCCACCAAT